AGGTCTGGAAGCGAGTGCAAGTGAAAAGCCAACTTCTTCGCTATATATAGCTAGTGACTCCTCCCTCCTTTGACCCATCATAAGGCCAGGGCAGGGCTCTTACCTTGGGAGGATCTCCGAAGCTGAAATCGGAATCCGTTAGCGTGCCGTTACGAAATGACTGAGAAGAGCGATTAGCTATTTCCGCGCGACGCTTCGGCGCTTGGCAGCTGTGCCGAGCGTCTTGTTTATCTGCACATGACACAATGGTCAGATTAGCATTGGGGTCCTAATGTGCATATATATGTATGTGTGTATGTATATCTATATATTTATATCTATATCTATCTATCTATCTATGTATGTATCTATCTATGTATATATATATATATGTATCTATATATGCATATATATGTATCTATATATGTATATACATGTATATATAAACATACATATATGTGTGTGTGTGTGTGTGAGTGTGTGTGTGTATTTGTTTGTATGTGTGTGAATGGTAAAACACTCTTCCGTGTTGATACTATGATAGAAAAACCAACAATACAAAAAATCTAGTTTTTGCATTGTGGTTTTTCTACCACATACACACACACATATATATGTGTATATATGTATGCACACACACACGCACACACACACACACACACACACACACATATGTATATATATATATATATATACACACATTTATTTGTGTGTGTGTGTGTGTGTGTGTGTGTGTGTGTGTGTGTGTGTGTGTGTGTGTGTGTGTGTGTGTGTGTGTGTGCGTGCGTGCGTGTGTGTATGTGTGTGTGTGTGTGTGTGTGTGTGTGTGTGTGTGTGTGTGTGTGCGTGCGTGCGTGCGTGTATGTGTGTGTGTGTGTGTGTGTGCGTGCGTGTATGTGTGTGTGCGTGCGTGCGTGCGTGTATGTGTGTGTGTGTGTGTGTGTGTGTATACCCAAATTATATATATATAACCAAATTATATATATAAATATATATGCATATATACATATATAAAATGTGTCTTTGTATGTATATACCTAAATAAATATACGCAAAAATATTATATTATAGATATATATATCCATATATATATATATTTATATATATATATATATATATATATATATATATATATATATATATATACATATACACACACACACACACACACACACACACACACACACACACATATATATATATATATATATATATATATATATATATATATATATATATATATATATACATAACATATATATATGTAATTATATATATATGTAATTATATATATATATATATATATATATATATATATATATATATATATATATATGCATGTATGTAAATATCTAAAATTTCAGCAACACTTTCGCAATGCAGTCACCAACTCCGATGAACATAAACATAAGCAGAGATCAAGAAGGGCGCGTCCCTGGCCTCTCGTGACTAGCGTTCGTCCATCCGATCACCTCCTGAAAGGTAGCCTTTACTAGTCCTAGCTATGCGGCTGCCAGAATGCTACTGATTACTAGTTTACTTATAGTCACGTAGTTATTCATGCTCTGGAATTAAGTAAGTTTTGAGTTGGTCTTTCAGATTTCGTATTATTTGTGTACTATACTTTTTAACGAATTGGGTGCTGGTCAAATGCCCAATTCCCCTGTTCTACGCACACATAAAATGTATTGAACAGAAATTTGTTTAGAAAAGAGACAGAGCCCTTGCGTGGCCTAATGATTATAACGAGGCAGAAAATGTTCCAAAGAGAGGGTCTGACTGTGCGAGTGCAAAATATGAAGCCCTTCCCCTGAATAGCCGGTGACCCATGGCGTGTGGCAGCCAGCCTTTTCTCGCACCGATAATAACCCCCCGTGAGACGCCACTCGGGACCGGTTCTCAGCTGTTGGCCGGGGCACGTTACGGTGACCCAGGCGCGACCTCACCCTCCCCGCCTCGCAACTGCGGGGCAAGGTCGGGTCGAGTCCCCGTGCAGCTGGGCATTACTGCTGTTTGTGAATATCTTTTGCTATGTTGCGTCTCTGGTTCTTTAAACGGACTGATATTGTTGTTAATATCATCAGTAATTCTAATGGATATTATATGAAAATGATATTACTACTAATATTAACAACAATACTAATAATGATAATAGTAATGATAATGATGATAATCATAATAATAGTAAAATACCAATGATAATGATAATAATTATGCTAATGGCAATGATGATTACAGTACTGACAGTGATAATGATAAGGATAACAGAAACTTTAATGTAATAATAACGAAAATGATACTGACAACAATAATGTTGATGATGATAATGATTATTTGAATTATAATACCATAATCTTAGTAATAATGATAGTAGTATCAATAAGGATAACATTATTAATAGTAACAGTAATAAAAATAAATATAGTAATGATATAAATGATAACAATAAAAATAATAGTGATAATGATAATAGTAACTATAACAATAATATTGACTAGATAAAAATATATATAACATTAAA